AGCGGTGGATTCACTACAGCAGATGCCCCTACACAGATGCATCATTGTCATTCCAAGTCCACAGACTCTTCTTATTGTGAATGAGTCGCATTTTGATAAGTGATTTTTTTCTGTACATATTGATATAATCAGGACATTTTGATATCCTATTGATGTAACTGATTTTAGTGATTGACTTTTGAATTTCTTTCTTTTTTTTTTTTTTTGTACTGAGGATCGAACTCAGGACCTTGCCCTGGCAAAGCAGGTAGCAGAACCACTGAGCTAAAGCCCTGGCCCAAGTTTTGAATGTTTTGGAATGATCACTCAGCTTTACTTTGACATCTTGTATTTTATATGTTGCTAAATTTCATTTTCTCATATTTTTGAGACATTTTTCATCCATGCTCACACACAATATTCGTGTATAATTTTCTTTTCCTGCAATGTCTTTGTCTGGTTTTGTTCTTAGGGCAATTGTTGGCTTTGTAGGATGACATAGAAAGTACTTCGTCTGTGTCTATGATATGAACGATAGTTTAGAGAATTAGTACAATTTCTCCCTTACCTATTTGTTAGAATTTACCAGTAAATCCACTGGGCCTGGGTCCCTTCTATTTGGGAAAGTTGTTAATTATTTTTTCAGTTTCTTTAATATACTTTAATATATTCAGATTTGGCAGACTGTCTTTCAGAGTATTTGTGAGTAAGCAGAGATGCTCAGCTCATGGTGGCAAGAGGGAAGGGTGTTACACAGTACCCAAGTCCGTGCTCCTAGGACCCACTCAGACACACCCAGAAGTCTGACTTATCACTCCCCTCATTGGCTCCCGAGCCAGTCCAGAGGACACAATGACCCTCAACCACCACTGTGCGTGACACTTGCATTCAGGGGAGGACTGAGGGAGGATAAGAACAAAACAGCTCCTTCATACCCAATTGTTCTACCCATAAACAATGTAGAAATCAAATGGGAAGAAGAGAGGGGAAAAGGCAATTCTTCTGCACAGGAGGCAGCATTATATTAAATGGATGCTCTAAAAGGGAATCTTGAGAACAAATATTACTTCACTTGGCACAGAGATGTGTCATCAAAATTATGTTTTTTTTTTATATAGACACAGTAGAATGGAGGTTACACAGAAAGTAATTTCAGCCACTATTAATATTTTCTAATCCTCCCTGAAAATTCATTTAAAGCTTTGAGTCCTACTTTCCTACACAATTTTATCTGCTGCCAAGCTTCAAATTCAGCTCCTATTTTCTATGGCTAAAGATCACTTTATTTATGTTTATCATATTTTGAATTGTTTGCCATTCGGTCTCCATCATTCCCCTTTTGAAAACTTTAAATTCAAAGTTATGCTGTCAATCTTTGCTCTTTCTTAGCCATCCAGTCATCACAAAATAAACAAAAACTGGAAAATTTAATATCTATTTTTCTCTTAATTAGTGTAGTAAAATATTTGATTGATTAAATGATTAATAATGAGAGGCAGAGTCGGATATTACATTCGATATGATTAATCAATCCTGAAAATGAGAAGTATTCATAAATATTCAGTCTAGTTAATTTTTATTAACTCCTTAAAAATAATCATGTTAATATTTCTCTTTCACATATATAGTATAGTGAGTATGTTAAGATAGCAGTTAACTCTAGCTCAAATGACTAAGACTCACTGTTTGGGAAAATTATGTGATTGACATAATAACTTGTTCTGGTTTATTCACTCCTTATCAAATATGTATTTATTGTGTTTTTGTTTGTTTGTTGGTTGGTTGGTTTTTTGGCTGGCTAGTTGATTTTTATTATGATACTGAGTCCTGAAACTAGGGACTTTACACTGAGCTACAACTCCAGTGCTTTTTATTTTTATATTTTGAGATAGAGTCTTACAAAGTCCCCAGGTGGGACTCAAACTTGTGATCCTCCTGCCTCAGCCTACCAACATGCTGAGATCACAGATGTGGATGCCCACTCCCAGGTCCAAACACTTGTCTTGTGTCTTGCTTTTCAGCATTATTGTTTTGCTTTTAATTTCCTTAAAATAAATTATATAAACAAATTTTTCTTGTGATCACTGTTAAGCATAATGAACAAGATGGATGAAGAGAGCTGTGTTCAAGAACCAAAACAAAGCTAAAGTCTGGAGATCATACCTGTGTATTTCATTTTTAAAAAGCTTAGCAAGTGACTTCAGTTTGCCAGGTGCTGAGTTAGACTCTTGAGAAAGAAAAACAAATTAGTTCCTGTCTTCATGCTTAATGGAAAGTATAAAGTGGAACATATGAAATTACAGCACATATAATAGTTGTATTTAGACAGGCAGTATTTTTATGGAAATCTCATTATTTTGCAGATTTAACCCATTAGAACAAATTGAACCAATCAGAATTTGTTACAAAATAAATAGCAAGAGCAAAATCTTTGTGTACATAAATTAAATGATATTACATTAAACACAATTTTGAGTCCCTTTATTTGAAAATATTTTTGCATATCAAAACTAGGAAGCATGAATCTTGAGAGGACTTAGTGGAGGAAATAGAATTTTAAAAGATTTCAATCAAAGTAGATGGCAAAAATGAAGCAGAATGGGAAGCTAGTATAATAAATGAGGAAGTAGTTACAGCTCCTGAGAGTTTAAAGTATGTGGATTTTGCATTTGGCCATAAGGTATGAAGACAGAAAATAAGCTAAAGCAGCCATTTCCCCATCATTTTATAACCTCAGTCAGTTTAACGTTAAAACATCTTGAAAACGTAACTCCTCAGTTCCAACCAGCAGCTTCCTTTTCCATTTAATCTGTCTCAAAATTTCCAAATCACGTCACAGAATTCCTTTTTTCTCCTCTTCCCTATTTTAATTGTAACCAAATATTTTGCTTTTAAATTGGAAAACAAACTGCATATTTACATCAAAATCCCCACTGCATCCAATTGAGAAGTAAAACCAAATCCACACAAACAGAGAAAGGATGACTGCTTCTTATGCAAACCATGTGTAACTCATACAGAATCTTCATGGATTTAGGATTCCAGGGCATTTTTTTTTTCTGGTTCTGCTCAACTTGAGTCAAATCTCCACAGTCTCAGTTTTAGCTTTATTTTACACTTTTAACCTAAGGTCTTGGGACAACCCAACTGGTCCATACTTTTCTCCTTGTTCTACTTTTCTCTATAACGTCTTTGTTTTCCAAGGTATCCACCTTTCTGAAAATTTTAATATTCATTACCACCTATTACAAAAACTTTACCTGTGCTCTGCAGGAATTCAGGGATAGGATGGTGAGAATAAGGATGGACCATGTAAAATACTTATATAACTTGTACCTAGCTGTCTCCCAAAGTCTAATGCTTTCCTAGGTAGGGCTTCAGAGACTGATGGCTGGATGAAGGGTGTGTGATACTGGATTAAGTGTGCATGGTCCAGGATCAGTTTTCTCAGTGGTTTAGTGTAGATTTGGGTGTGGCAGATGGATTTACTGAAGGCAGAAGTCCCACCCTGGGTATGGGTGGCACCAGCCAATAGGCTTACAGCCCAGATGGGGTATAAAGGGAAGGAGGCACACTGCTGCTGCTTCCTGGCTACCATGGCATGGGTTGTTTCTCCTCTGTGATGCCCTGCTTCTGTGCTAGGCTGCTTGGAACCAGCCAACCATGGACTGAAATCTCTACAGAGTGTAAGCTAAACTAGATCTTTCTTCCTTTAACTTGTGGATATCAGAGATTTTGTCCTAGCAATGAGAAAAGTAAATAAGGCAATGCCCCAAGTTAAGCCTACTTAGAACAGTAATGATTCCTTAGTGTGGGACTCCCTTCATTTTTTATGCGGTCTTTTTCTCCTCTTTCTGAGATATTTTCTTTTCTACTATCCTTCTTGGCTACACCTTCAAGCGAAAAGTCATGAGAATTGACTCATTTGGGCGAGAAGCTTTCTCAAACTTTTCCTGCTATTAGAAGTTTGGGGGACTGGTGTGTGTTTTAAATTTTAATAGCTTTCATCCTGTGTCACTTGGGGTATTGCCTCTTTCAAAAACTTAAGTAGGATTTTTATTAACCAATATTGTCTTTTAAGGTATATGTTCTCTAGCTTATTATCTTCAGTAACAAGAATTACTAGTCATGATATCTAAAACACCTTTATTATGGGTCACCTTAAAAGCTTTAAGATGGGCTGGGGATTTGGCTCAGTGGTTCTGCTTCCTGCCTTTCAAGCACAAGGGCCTGAGTTCAATCCCCGGTACAAAAAAAGGGAGTCAGAAGACTACAGGACAAGGCATTGGCCTCCTCAGAGTCTTACCTTAAGAGCCATAGTTTTTTCTCTTCGTTGAAAAATACGATTTTAATAATCCTTGTTACTTCAAGGAGTTTATTGGAACTTTTTAAGTGTACCTTTACATGACACGTCTTGGTTCTCATTTTTTCCCGGAGCCCTGCCCTCTCTTCACCTCTTCCCCCTCCCCTATTTACAAGGATTTTGTTTCCATTTTTTACTTTGCTCATATTTTTTCTTTTTCCTCATTTCCTTTCCCGACTCTTCCCACCTCAAGTTGTTTTTCAGTTTTATTTCTTAGCATTTCTCCTCTCAGAGCTGTTGCTTCACCCACATTTCAAATTGCAGATTTCTTGACTCCCGTTTTCTTTCATTTTAATCTGCAAAATAGTCAATTAGCATTACTCTATCAAAAATAGATATCAGTGGTCAACTCACATGCTTATCATTCACTTTTCCAATTTTTCTGTTTGGACTACAAATGTATTAGGTTCGTGAGCTATCTTCCAGTTTAAGGGTTGTCACTGCAAGTGACAGATGCTCACCCTCCTGGATTATAATAAAAATTGTCATCTCTGGCTTCCCATAGCAAGGCCACAAATTTTAACTTTTTGTTTCAGAACCTCCCAACTTCTAAGATCAGTTTCTGCATTAGGATGAGCCGAAATGTATCATAATAACCAAATATTCTAAAACTTTTCAGTGGCATCAGGAAACAAAAATCTATGTCTTGTTCTTGCAGTCTACTGTAAGCCTTTGCGAATTTGAAAGGAAACTTTCACATGCTGTAACTAAGTGGCCTAGGACCACAGACTCTCCGCATTCTGCAGTGCTGCCATCTGGATGATGTGACCCTAAAGTTGTGTGAGAAAGAGAATGGAGGTATCTGACACCAAATAACCCTCCCTGTAGCTGATGCACACAGATTTTCTTCCCAGCCTACTGGTCAGAGTCTATCACTTGTCACATGGCTTGTACTGTACTGTAGGCTCAAGAGAGGGTAACCTCTACTATGCTATGGGGGAGAAGAATCAGCTGTAATTGAGCAACAAATATCTGTTTCACCCTCATGTGCTTTGCCTCTGCAGAATTCTGTCTCAACCTATGAAAGTAGAATTTGTATGGTCTTGGAAATCTGCAGCACAGGTATCCTTGTAAATATGTTCTTATATAAATTAAAATCTAATTATATTAATGGTAACTGTAAGTACATTATTTATTCCAAATGTTTGTTGCTATCAGTACGTAGACAAGGTGTGGATAAAACAGAACTAAAACAATATGGCAATAGCTCTAAGTTGTGTAGTGGAATTTTTTTATGAATTTATGTTTTCTTCTACCGCATTGCACACTGAACATTTTTTGCACTCTGTTGAACATTATGTGGATGTCTTCTCTTTCTAGGATTTACAAAAATACAAACACATACACAGAGCACCTAAATAAATGGCAATACTTACTGAAACTTTGGGGGCACAATAGGTTTATATTACAACAGTACAAACCACCATTTAAATACTGACATCTCTATTCAAAAATGGTCCCTTTTAGTAAATAGGCCTTTGGTCTGCCCCAGCTTCTCTCTTCTTTTTTACTTACGATCATCCTATTACCTTCTTTCTCACTGTCTATATTTTTCTCTTAGGATCAAGGACATCCCTATGTATTTTAATTTTTGCCCAGTATTATTATTAATTTTTGCAACACCTATGTCCAGATTTACAAGTATATCATTTGTTATTCTCTGGGATCAAGAGCAGAATGCATTGCTTGTTTTTTATTTTATTTTATTTTATTTTTGGTACCGGGGATCAAACTCGGATCCTTATGCTTGCAAGGTAGGAGGCGGAACCACTCAGCTAAATCCCCGGCCCTCATTGCTTATTTTATACCGTGATAAGGGTGGATTTATCCTGCATCTGCCCCTGGTGATTTGATTATCATCTACTTAGGTGCTAAGGAAGACATCACATGGGCCTGGATTATAGAAGCAACGGTATGTAAATTATCAGGTAGAAAGTTTACAGGAGGAAAAGAAGAATTCAATTCACTTTAAAATAGGTTCATTAAAGTATTTAAATATTTTAGTAATAAACACTTAGGATCTTAATACATATCTGAGAATTGTAAATAAATTATGATACATTTTGAAGTCATGTAGTTGTCTTCAGTGCCTATAAGTACGTGATTTGTTATATTAGAATGGTTCAAGCTAAGACTTTCTATCTGAAATGCAAAATCTATCTCCTAATTGCAAATAAAGAATAATTTTACAATTTTTAATATGCATTACTTTGAAAAAGAAGACCACCTGACTTTCCAGATCATTTTATACTTGATCCAAAGTGGCATTTTTAAAATATATTCAATATCAAATTCTAAAGAAACAATGTAACTTGTTAATAACAAAAAATTAAATTGAATGCTTATGTGTGAAAGAAAGCAAAGTCTTCATGAAAAAACATCTCCAGGTTCATTTCTAATCAACCTTTATCACCTGTTATTCACCCTATTAGAAATGGAAATGGGTAGCTGACAGCCGTGTCAAGATGAATCCCTCCAAAAGACACATGTCAAGGTTGAAGTAGAAAATATGAAAATGATAAACTAATCTTCCCTTTACATGAAGTCTTTAGACAAAGGAGATAATGTACAAATCCCTGGAACTTTAAATAGGTATCCAGTGATAAGTTCTGAGTGTTCTATGTCTTTGTCCAGCAATCTATTTTCTAGATTGGAGTGAGCTAAGGTAGACGGGTTTAATTAGCAGATTATAAACTCTGAAAACTGTGTAATAAATAACAAACAATTACATAATATTTTTTTAAAATTGTAGTTAGTTGGACTGTTTTGTGTTTTCCCATTTTTCAAAACATAATTCCTTGGCTTCACGATGTCATTACACATTTTAAGGCCATAAAATGTGTCTTTTGTTTTCCGCAAATTAAAACTAGAATTTTGCTATTTGCTTGTAAGTACTTAATAAGTATCACACAGAAGAAATTATAGTGTGATTATGGGAAAATGTAGATCAGATTTAGGGAGTTTGGAAGTATATATTAGAAATGAAAAATAGAAACATATATAAAAACACTCGACTAAAAGGGTTGCTGTTTGTCAATACCCCAAAGACAGTAAGAATGATATCCAGGGAATACATGCAGTTATGCAAAATTTTAAATTTTATAAAGTTATTTCTTATGTTTTTTCTAAGAAGGCCATTGAATCCTTGTGTGTGAAGCATCTGACCACGAGCTAAATGATTGCTACTATGGCAAAATCCTATAATGGATGTAAAATTAATTGGTATATCCAGCACTTTATTTAGATAATTAAATGTAATCAAGAATTGGTATCATGGTCTGTGTCATATTAGGAAATATATCATAGAAATTATCTTCAGCTTAGTTTAAACTGTTAACCTATAATCAATTTTAGTTCATATTGCCTGGTAATTTTTAAAAAGAAATAATAGATTCTTATATGTATTTTAATATTTTAATAAGCATAAAGCAAGTCACTATGAAGCAAGCATACGTGGACTGAGGATAACACATATGCTCCAAAATACTTTTTCTTTAGACTCCTTTAGTTTAATAAGTGAATCCCAGATCATTTTTTTATACAAGAGGTTTACTCGTCAAAATCCACTGCTTCAACTGTAGAAGTGTTTTATAGGACAACTGAGATTAGAAATGTTACATGGATCTTTAAAATTCTTCAGATGTGTGACAATAATGTTTCAGAAACAAAAGTTGGGAATAAATAATGTGGATTGTGTAGAAGAAACGATAATTCCTCCCTCACTTATCTTGAACGTTGAACAAGTTTTCATTGGGTAACAAAAGAAAACTGTGTCAGTTATCAGCCTTATGAGGGAATTATAATCAGATGTAGAATCTGCGTTGAAATAACAGCTGCTCACCACATTCCTCCCAGACCTCAGACAGCAACTATACTGCCACTTTGCCCCTTCTGTCAACCATGATTGGCATTCATTTCTTAGGATGGGTCCACACTGGGCCGAATCTGACACTGCTGTCCTTGCTGTTCTCTCTGCATCAAATTTGCTCCTTCCCAAAAAGTAGCTTCTTGGCCAAACATGCTCTTAGCGCATTGACTTAGCAGAGAAGTTTCTGGACTATTGCCAAGCAGCATACATACTGGCATATCTCTTAAGTCACTCAATTTCCAATGTTGTTCACCTTCATTTTTTAAAAATAATAAAATGTTTATGTTTTTTAAAAAAAACACTCCATAATTAGTTTCCAAGTAATCTGATCTTTGGAATGAATTAATTCCAGTATCTTCATAAAATCACAAGGGTTTATCTTCAGGTTTGTTTAATCCCTACTCTCAATGTTGATAAACAAAGAATATGTATAATTTAAATAATAGTTTGTTTAAAGAGCACCTATGTTTTAAAAATATTTTTTAATTGTGAGAGGCACAAGAGAGAAAAAGAGAGGCAGAAAAAATTGAGAAATCTCAGTATATTTTGTTTTCGACTAGATACAAAAGTAAGATTTTATAAACATCAGAATACTTTCCAGTGATGGTTTCAAACAGAAAAGGTATCTGTTGTGGACTGTTCTAAGAGTGTGATGAAATCTTGCAGTCCTGCTCTGTCCCGCCTGGGATGTGACTCATCCCTTCCTCTAGAGACCCCATACGATCCATATACACTGCTTTTTTTTCTTTCTTTATTGGTACATTTTAGGTATACACTGCTTTCTTGTTGTTCACTTGGTAGCCAGCAAGGTTATCGCATCCACTGTCCTGGTATCTCAGTGCTCGTGTTTATGTAACTTTTCTTTGACTTAACAAGACCACAAAGTATGAGAATAGCAAACCTGGCAGCTGCGGTTTCGCAGAGGAGTGCCATTTCCTTTAAGCAAAGAAGTGAAAGGTCTCTGCTTCATAAGGAAAGAAAAAAGAAGTTTGTATGCTGAGATTGGTAGGATCTAGAGAAGAACAAGTCTCTTATCTGTGAAATTGTGAAAAAGGAAAAAAGATTTGAGATAATTTTCCTGTGGTATGTGAAGTCCCAAATTTAGAGCCACAATTTGTGATAAGTGCACAGTTAAGAAGGAGAAGGAATTAAATTTTAGGACTCAGTCCTAGCTAAGGTTTCAGGCACCCACTGGAGCCTTGTGTCATACACCCTTTAGAAAAGGGGGTCACTGAAGACACAAAGTAATAGAACCCCTAGAAATGATTACACGAAGTAAATAATCATTACAATTTTTAGGCACAAAAATTAAGATTTAGAATTAAGATGAATTAATTTAGAAAATAGTATAATTTTACCTCTTCAAAAGATAATTGAAATTTTAGTAAAGGAAATTTAACCGTGCCAAAACATCACCATAGTTTTCCATAATAAAAGCAGTCGCAAGAATTACATTTGGCTGTGAATCAGAGGAAAAAGGGATAGCTGTGGTACTGAGAAATGTTAGCATTTTTATTTTGAATTTTGAGGCAAACTTAAGGAGAATAGCACAGGACTCTTGTAGAAGAGAAGAGTTCATCTGCCTTCTCAGTAAAGGTTCATACTTCTCCTGTCACTCACTTCTGAACTACAAGAACTTCATTTAGCAAATTCAAAGAAGATTTTTAAATGGAACGGGTTGGAATTATAATTAATATTAAAACACATGGATTCAGAACACACAGAACAAGTATCTCTCAGATGAGTTTGGTTAACTCGATATACTTTCAATTTTCCTTCAATGTTTTGGTTTCTGAATTATGAAATTTTAACTCAGATAATCTGCAATAAAACATAAGATCCTAATAAGATTACTGTCATTTAGAAAGGAGAAGAAAGGAGCTAAAGGTGTAGGGAAGGTGGGACGGGTAGGGGAAGGGTAATAAGGGAAAAGAAAAAAATGTGAGAGAATGAAAAGATGAAAATAAAGAGTTTGTAGATGGGGAGGTGAGGAGGGGGTGAAGGGAGGGCAGGGGTAAGGGGAAAAAATGAGAATCAAGACCTGTCATGTAGAGGTACAAGATCCCAACAATGAACGTAACTGTACTGTATCCCTAAAATGTACCAATAAACTCAATTAAAGCTGAAAAAAAGCAGTGTTATATCTGAAAATTACACTGAAGTATGTGTCTGGGTATGTATGGGTACAGAGATTGACCCTAAAGAAATCTTTATGAATGAATGAATGCATGGAAAGGAAAAGGAATACAAACAGAATTTCCTTAACATTGAAGGGCGTAACTAATCTAAGAAGTCTACTTAAATTCCATCTCTGTACAGGTCACATCACCTTGACTGTGTATATTATAAACCTCTCTTATCTATATATAAATTTTTGAGGTGCTACTGATTGATCCTGAGGCCACAAACCTGCTAACTACGTGTTCTACTGCTGAGTTGCACCCCAGCCCCATCCCGAAGGAAAATGGTGCAGATTTCTGTGTTCTATAAAACCATTTGAAATCTTTTTGAGGGCTTTTTACTTTAGAAGGTAAGAATTTAAATTCACTACTTTGCTGTGTGGCTAGAGTAGAGCCTGTTTTTAATTAGTTTCTGGGCATTTTCTTGCTTTGGGATTTTTGCAGAATAATACTAGTCCTGTAGCCAGGGATTAAATATTGGTTCAATTTAGTCCTCACATCTCATTGTTTTGTGGTTGTTTCAGGTACACACTACAACAATTTAAAAAACAAAACAACACGAAGTCAGGGTAGTGTCTCTTTTGTGGTGAACCTCATTCAGCCTGAAATTTAATTATGTTACCATGTGTCTTTGTAATGTAGATTAATAGTTTTATTGTACTCCGGTGATTAGTTTCTGTTTGTTCTAATTTCTTTTTAGCTCCTTCCTGACCTTGAGGTGAAATAACACAGAAGATGTATTCCTTCAATTTAATGCCAGTTTGAGGTGTTTCTCCTGCATCATCAGATCAATGAAAAGTAAATAGCCTACACTTCTTGTTTCACAGTGCAGTATTGATCTTTCTTCAGCTTTTGCTTTCCCCTTTCCCTGCATCTTGTGTCTTTCAACCCCTGGGACGGAAGTGATTGCCATAGATTGGACAGGCTAACAAGCGCATGATAAGGAACCAGTGATGTGTGGCACGCTCCCATGCAGGGTTGGGTATATAAAGCCTGCTTCTGCGTTGAGAGAAAGGTGCCATTTTGTGTGCGTGGCACAAGCCACTCAGAGAAAGAACCAGAAGGAAAAAGCCAGGAAGGACGATTCTGTTTGTTAGTTCATATCCTTGCAGGTAGTGCTCCGTTAGGTGGTGGAGCACCTTTGGAAAGTAAAAGACAAAGTAACCTTCGGGAAAATTGCACATGCTCTCAGCGCTGGTGAATGAGTGGTTGCTTGCACCTGTGGGTAAGTCTCTGCCATTCTTTAGTGTTCATGCCTCTTCAAGAATACGTGCTATGGGATTTTTTTGTTTAATTTTTATTTTTCACTTGAGGGTAATTGTTAATCTTGGAGTGTGAAAAATAAAAGTATCGTAATTTGGATTTGACATCCAGCACTTATAAATATGCACTGAAACCCCATATTTCACTACCCAAGAAATATTAGGAGATGATAATAACACTGATTTGACAACCTAACCTGTTTGTGGTTTTTCTTTGATATGGAAAGAGATGTTTCTGTGAACATGTAAACAGATCTGATTTTTTTTTAAACATCGAGTGATGTAAAGAAAGAGGCTAACTTGATGGTAAAGCTTAGAAATATGTTGCTGTCTCTCTGCCTGGTTGATGTAGGAATAAAAAACATTCAAGTTTTATTTTGGGGAACTTCAGATTTGCCTGGGATTGAAAAATGGATAAATGAATAATTGATACTGTACCACACACTGTTGTCTCCTTACAATATATTTTGTTAGGCAGTTTACAAGTTCTCTGAGCTTGCTTTGAGATACGAAGGATTCAGGTTCTTGACTTATTCGTCATTGGGAGATCTGGTTCCCAGCTCTGTGAGCTAATGAATGCACAAATAAGTTATTTTATTCATTTTTATGTTCTCCTTCTTGCATTTTGTTTAAGAATTCACAGTCAGGCTGTAAGTCTGGACTGTATGGATGAAAGAAGAATCAGATAACAGAATAAATAAAGCTTACTCTTCTGATGGACCAACTTTGTTACCTCAGTAAGCTTTAATATAGCGTGAGCACTCGTGTAGGATGTTTATCCTTTTAGGAATATTTTAAGGACAAATATTTACTATGCACAGATTTTGGATTCATCTGTGTAAATCATTGAACTATGATATATAAACTTCCCAGAAAAGCCATGAACACGTCTGCCCTGGGCATTATTAGCACATGGTTGTCAACACGATGCTTTTAGATCATGAGCCTTTTGTTGTCTGAGTAAAATTCAGTGTGCATGGAACAAATTAAGCGTGATGTTGGAGCTTTGGCATCTACCTTGGGTTTTATGACATTTTCTCTTTCTTGGAGTTGGGTGGTTGTTCTAACTCAAGCTATTATGTAATCCTCAGGGTACCCCTGGTGCTGATTCGAAGGCTATTAATTTTCTATTACAGTGTGCTAAAGATGTCCTATTGCGTGGCACTCACCTGCATTATTGAGTCAATGACCAATTGCAGAGTTGCTCTCTGGTAGTTGGGATTTAACTCAACCCTCTGGGATCTCATTTATTATTTGCAGATATTGATTTTGGGGGAAAAAAGCTAAGATGTGTGAGTATAATACCGAATGAACCTGCCCTAGGGCTGTTAACTCCTAAAAGTCTGAATATTCTATATTTAACAGGTAACAATTTAAAAAAATTTGTGATTTTTAGCAAACAAAAATTGTAGCACGTTCACAATTAAATTTTAGTATCTATACAATATGTCTAAACATTGAGTGCCAAATGAACTTGTTGACATTCTTATCATCTAAACTTAGTTTCAGTAACATTTATAACTTTCTGAGGTCTCATAAATGCGAATAAGAAAATAATGTTTACTTTTATCAATAAAAATGAGCTAAGAGGACCCCGTCTGTGTATCTGGGATATGACCTCTAATTAGTGTGTGGGCGTGTGTGTGTGTGTGTGTGTGTGTGTGTGTGTGTGTGTGTAGAGAAAATCTTTGTGACAACTTAATCATTTGTTTTTCCTTAAAGAAACATAATAGTTCACAGGCATCTTTGGGAAGCAGCCTTGGAAGCTATCAAGAGACAAAGGAGCATAAAATTTTGTGAGGAAGACCTTTACCAGGAGGCATCTAAAATTCAAGAAGAAGTCAGGGTTTTGTGGTTTTCCAGGGTGAGCAATCTCTTGACAGCAATGACCCGGGGAGCCTGTCAGGACATTGGTGCTGACCGGGGGACAAAGACACACTCTTGCAAGCGTATGGGATTCACTGTGCTATGCCCTCACATTTATGGCAAAGGCCTAATTAGAAACATTTCTTAGAACCTCAGCTTTCTCCCAAAGATGCCTTCAGTATTTTCAGAAAAATAGATTTTCTGCATAGCTAAAGTCATTGGATACATTTAGAAAATAATTCATTTATTTGAGGTAAATACCAGCTTTTAAAATGAAATTTTACATTTTGTACCTTTCTGTCAGTTTTGGTTAGTAATAAATGTAAAACAGCAGAATCTGGTTTTTAACAATTTGAATACGACTAACTTAAATACTAAGAAGAAGCTCTGCTCTCCACAGTCCCTTTATGCAAATCATTTGAAAATAATGATTTCTTTAATTGGCAATGCTTGTTAAATAATTTCCTGGGAGCCTAATAAGTTCAAAAACTACTCTGTGCTACAAAAAGGATAGAAGACATTTGCTTTTCTCTTATTTTGGCAACACATTGTGTCACAATTTAACAGTTTTGTTTCCTTTTATTTTCAAATAACCCAGAGGAAGCATCACATAAGTGGCCTTAGTCAGTTATTGTATTTATTCATTTTTTTTGTTTAACAGAAATATATTGTCTGTATCATGTGTTAAGTGTGGTATATGCTAAAACATTTTAAAAGCAAGATTGATAATAGGATTTTAATGTGTATTAAAGACAGAAGAGGAAGATTGTGTTCCATTTTCCAAAAAGATCATATATAATAGGAGTCCAGTACAAAGGCAATTTATAAAGAGCAATTTGTTTTATGACAGAAACAAACTTAATGAGAGCACACTATAATGTAAAATTCAAAAAAAATATTTTAAGTATAGTTTCAGTGTTAAGAAATGCTTTTTTCTTCATAGTATGTAGAAGGATGTCTAGCTAAACTTCGCAATTGATGGGATTATTCATTCTGCCTACATTGTTTCAGTATTCATTATGTCATAAATACTAAACATAGAGAAAAGGAGGTGCATTTTTAGCCTATGAGAGGTAACAGGATAGAGGAAGACACACAGAACTGAAATGCTCACTCACCCTTACAACATTGCAGCACTGTAGACTTTTTTTTTTTGTCAAATGTTCATAACCTTTTTTTTTTTTTTGGCTTTGGGGATCGAACTTGGGACCTTGTGCTTGCAAGAAAGGCAGGTGGTGGAATCACTGAGCTAAATCCCCAGCCAATAACCTGATTTTTCATTTAATTTTAAATAATGCAAAGAACTCACAAGAACTTTTAAAAATTTAATTTATTTTTGTCATCACTTATGCATTACTTTGTACAGGTAACTTGCACACTTCCCATGGTTTTTATCCTGAGAAGTATTGAATAAGCTTACAGTGAAAGATCCAGCAGAGGCACTCAAAAATCAGGACAAAATTGAATTATTTGAAGGAAAATTGATAAACCTGGAGACTGTAATTCCAATGAAATAAACCAGACACACAAGCTTAAATATCATGTGGTTTCTCTTTGAAAAATCCAAAATATAAATAAAGACCAAATAGATGATAGATAATAAGAAATGAAGGGGTAAATCTTCCTCATATGGGAAGGCAATTAAGAGATGAAGTGGGGTAGGGGAAGAGATTTAAAAAGGAATTAAGATGTGTCCTGTCATGCACCAACTCCCCATGAGGAAAGTGACCATTATGTATTGGAGACATGTACTGATAAAAAATAGTGGAAAAATTAATGACATTGAACTTAACTTGAATCATCAAGCATCTAGTAGTGAAATTAGATATCAGAACCCAAAACGTGCTTGCAATAAGCGTAACTGCTGAAATTTCAAGATGGATAGTGATTCAACTTCTCTTGGGTAAGATTTAAGTAGGGTAGGCAGCCCAAATCAAGGCTTCTAAATTCCAGATTATATGTTTCTCATTATTAAGTCATGAAAAGCACATATTCGGTGATATATAAATGTTTCCCCAAATGCTTGCCACTCTTCTTCTTGAAGTAAATGAATTTTTTAATAGTTTTTAAATTTGAAAACCATATTGGATTTGACTCAGTATTTTCGATAAGTGTTGTGTCTCATATATTTCTTTGTCAACAAATAGCAGTGATATTATACGTGGTTTTGTATAATTAACTGGAAAGATTAAAAAAGTCAGGTAAAGTTATGGATAATTTCTCCTTCAATAAGAGCAGCAAATACTGAAATGACACCATCTCCAATTCTCAAGTAGCATTCCCTCCTGCCCTCGTAATGAGTATGGAGCTATCAAACTATTTTTCTTCATTTTCATGTATTATTACTGCTGTTGTTGCTCATTGCAGTGCAAAATACCCAACAGAAAACAATTTGGGGCAGCGTTATTGTTTCCACTAATTTAGCGAAGCAATTTCCTGGCACATGAACACCAACCTCGAGTATTCCTGCTCCTGTGTCCACGCCTCTTCAGCATCAGTCACGAATGAAGTAGATTTGGCCCCTGCTGACTTCACTTGGCTTTCTGCCCACCCTTGATGTTTTATAAGAAAATCACTCAAATTCTCTCCCGTGATTGCAGTATAGTCTTTCCCCCTGACTCCCCGCTGTGTCAGTCTGTAGCCTTTCTCTCTTCTCAGAAAATCAAAACAGCACAGAGATCAA